TTCACCCCTGCCTCAAAAACTGCATTTCATAACTGGTTAGCCTCGTATATTCTGGTGGCAGGCGCTCACCCAAAAGTATTTTATCAACATATTATCTAGTTTCCATTTCATTTTCATTTGACTGGTACTAATTATCGTTCAGTTTTCAAGAGGTTGTCCCTTTGAATGCTGGGAATGTACTGGGAGCAGAGGATAACAAATCAATACCAAAATGGGAGGCAATCATTCGAAAAACTCTGAACAAATCCTTGGAACCCGAAAGCAAACACATATGCTACAGTGCTCCACCTTCACCAGTACAAAGGACTTCTTCTGTTGCTGATGTACTTGCAGAAACTAATGCTCATCCGTTAGGTTTTCTGGGCCAGGAATATGTTGGAGCTACTAATGGTTGTGACTTGGAACATGGTCAATTGAATAAAGTACTCAGCATTGGGAGAAATTTGCAATGGAGGAGAATTTATGGCATCGATTGCGATAGTAGGCTAGATTGGCCTGAACTTTCATTAGATGCAACCCCTCAAGTTGTCTTCACCAGTTCCAAATTGCGGCGGGTGCTGAGCAGTTCTGCAAGAATGAGCTTTAATACCTCGGATAATCCTTTAATATTCAGTCCTCAAATTTCACAAAAAGATGGTGGATTGAAAAGATCACACCATAGCTCTGGGAACCTGCGGAGATCAATCTCTGTGGAGCAGCAAGTGATGCCTCAAGTTTTTGACACTCTCTCTAATGTGTCTGACAGTGTTTTGGAAGAGGAAGATGATTTCTTTCATGAATTACCAAATGAACAACTGAAAAATGAAGTTATCGACGATGGAGCAAAGTTACCTTCTACATATGTCCGAATTGTCAGCAAGCAAATGGTAGGGATATATATATCCGTCTGGGTGCGTAAGAAGTTGAGGAGACACATTAACAATCTGAAAGTATCTCCAGTTGGGGTTGGTCTAATGGGCTTCATGGGAAACAAGGTACTTCCTGTTTTTTTTTTCATGCTGGAAGTGCATCATCTTATGTGGAATTGATGTTGGTGTTCCCCAACCTTAAGAAAGTTAAGATAATATGCATTTGGAATTGAAAGGGTTTTTTTTTTCGCTATCACAATCTACAATCTGGAGTAGGTTACATTGTATTGCATCAAGCTAATGTAGGGTGCTGTGTTTATTTCACGATGATAGTGAGCCATGTTCTATGAGTTCACTTGTTTTGATTTTCAAATGAAATAAAAACAGTGTCCCTCAACATACTGATGCATTAAAATGTGATTAACTGCAGGCTGAAGATTGCATTAATTGTAGAGGAGACAACATGTTATAATGTGCTGATCAATTGTTGAATGTTCTTGCCTTAATGCTATTGACCATCTTCGTAATTCATGGTTGCTCAAGCAGGGATCAGTTTCCGTTAGTATGTCCCTTTTCCAATCGCGAATGTGCTTTGTTTGTTCTCATCTGTCCTCTGGTCAGAAGGAGGGGGCTGATCAAAGGCGGAATTCAGATGTGTATGAAATTATACGACGTACCTGTTTCTCGTCTGTCTTTGATACAGATCAACCGCTGACAATTCCCTCTCATGAGTAAGCATACAGTTGACATTCTTTTTAATTATATGTGTTTAAGTTGGCTGCTTCATAAGACT